CAGGAGGCAGGAAAGATGGCGGCTTCCCAAGGCCAGATGGCTACAGAGCTTCAGGATGGGGAACCTTCGAGTCCCCAGGGCCTACAACCTCCGAAAGGGGCCTACAACCTCCTAAAGGGGCCTTCAGGTGGCCATATTATAGGGAAAGCCCGTTGCAGACATTTGCTGAGACCCTGGGTTCACCCCTCCTTGGCTTTCTCCCTCCCCCACTCCTGCAAGTTGCTCCGCTAATGGCACCCCACAACAGATGGGGCTGCCTGGGCGCTGCCGAGTACCCCATTCCTGGAGGCGTGCAGCCACGCCAGGGCCTGGCGTGGGTTAGTCCTAACATTTTGGCCCTTTGAGAACACCATCATCATCTACATTTTATGGATAAGAAAGTGGAGGAGCAGAGATGAAGCCCCCCACTGGCAAAGCTTCCGAGGCGACTCATGCCTCGGACCAGGGAGGACCAGCATACAGGCTTAGGAAGGCGGCCACCCTCCCCCTGCAAATAATCTGCCCTCAGCTGGACGAATGGAGCGAGACAGTGGCATAGGCCCAGCGTGGAACCCAAGGGCAGGCCCCCAGGGAGAGGCGCGGGGCGGGCAGTGGACCTGAGAGGGAGCAGGGCTCAGAGAGACCCCCTGCCGTGTTTGCGGCCACAGCACAGGATGCCCTGTGTCCTTGTGGGGGTGGCAGTGAGCCCAGCATTTGGGGATATTCAGGGGTCACCCCCCACCTGCCAGGCTGCACTCAGCTCACCACCCACATCTGCAGATTGGGCAACATGAGGTGAGCAGATGGCACGTGGCCTGGGCTCCCAGCAGCAGGCCGACTGCCCCAGAGCCTGGGCGAGACGGGAAGCAGGCTATGGGCGTGAGGCGGCCCCATCTCTGAGCCTCCGCCTCCCCGTTGGTTGGGTGGAAGCTCTCGCTCCGTCTGTAGCTGCCGAGGGCTGAGGGCGCGGAGCCCGTCATTGCCGGCACCCCGAGGGCTGCCCACACACCTCCAGCTCAGCCCTGGGAGCAGCTGCTTCTAGACGGAGCCCTGAGTTAGGCAAAAGCGCAACTGAACAAGAGACGCCACCTCGGAAAGACAGCTGTCACCTCACACATCACACCCCTCGTGCGAGTCTGAGGGAGGTGCAGGGCTGAGGGCAAGAGGAGAAGCAGGCAGGGAACCGAGAGGCGGCTGTCACCCAGCACCTTCTGCTTCTGCGTGTTACAGTTTGCCCTCAGGGCCCAGCAAGGTCACGGCACTGGGTGCTGGAGGAGGACCTGGGCTGGTGGCTGCGTGTCTCCCTCTTGACCCCAGGCAGATTTTTGAACCTCTTTGACCCTCTCTGTCCCCCATAAAGTGGGATCAGACCCTCTCCCTGGTTACTGCAGAGTCAGACACGAGAGCTTGCCGAGCTCCCGCCATTGCCCGTGCTCAGCCGCCCCTGCACGCACCCTGCCTCTGCCACTCCTTCCCAGCCCCAGGCACCGGGAGGGGCTTGTCCGAAGTCACGCAGCTCATTGTGGCCAAGCCAAGTCTGGAGCCAGGGACCCACCGTCGGCCTGCCTGGGGCCTTTCCGGGCCTCACTCTCGGACCCAAAAGGCCAGGAGAGCAGGTCACAGGCCAGGGTGCTGACAGCCTCCCAAATGTCAGCTCTCGGGGCCTGAGCTCGTTCTGCGTGGCCCCCCTTCCCGTGCCCCTGCGGCATGGGCTGTCCAGCCCATTCCTGGCCAAGAATTTTCAGGGCGGGCAGGCCCTGCCCTCAGAGTTGGCCCCGCTCTGTCCCCCATCACACAAAGCACAAAGCGTGCTGGTGGGATGGACCTGGAGGGGAGACTGGCACTGGGGCCACTGCAGTCAGGACGGGACCTGGTTTTTGGAGGCACTTGCCTGCGCGGCCTGGGCCTCCCCACTGCCCCGCCGTACGTCGCCGTGTTTGCGCACATCTGCACAGCAGAGCCTGAGGTTGGCCACATGGGGCCTTGCGCTGTTCCTTTGGTTCTATGGCAGGGGTGGGGGCTCCGCAGGCTGGGCTCACATGCATGTGTAAGAGTTCTTTGTGCACTGTCACCGCTCACTTGCTGGTTCAATAACCTGAGCTCTCACGCTGCCCTGGCAACCCTGGGCACTGTGCCCATCTTCTCTCGGGCCCTCTCCTCCCTCCCCCAGAGAAGAGACCATCACCACTGTGGTGAAGAGCCCGCGTGGCCGGAGACGATCCCCCAGCAAGTCCCCTTCCCGCTCGCCTTCTCGCTGCCCGGCCAGCTCGCTGAGGCCAGGCCTCCTGGCCCCCGACATGATGTACCTGTCAGGGGCTGGCCAGCCCCGCAGGCCAGAGGCAGAGCCGGTCCGGAAGCCCGTGGTGCCCACGCTGTATGTGACGGAGGCCGAGGCCCTCTCTCCAGCTCCGCCCGGGCTCTTGGGGTCCCAGCCCCAGTGGGTGGAGGTGGAGGAGACCATTGAGGTCCAGGTAAAGAAGACGGGCCCGCAGGCTGCGTCTCCCAGCAGAGAGGTGCCCAGGAGCTCGTCGGGGCATCTCTTCACGCTGCCTGGTGTGAAGCCAGGAGGCGACCCCAATTCCAACAACTCCAACAACAAGCTGCTGGCCCCAGAGACCCAGGGCACAGCCACTGTTGGCGCCAGGGAGCCCCTCGCCTTCCACGGGGATGCCAGGGGCAGTGTGGACTGGGCCGCTTCTGGCACGGACAGCCTGGAGCCAGAGGAGGCCGGCATCACCCCAGAGGACGAGCGCGCCATGGAAGAGCAAGGAGGGGAAGAGGGGGAAGATGCAGACACCTTCGTGACGGAGGAGCGCCGGGACACACACAGCCTTGGGGACCGTGACCCCAAGATCCTCACGCACAACGGCCGCGTGCTGACACTGGCTGACCTGGAGGACTACGTGCCTGGGGAAGGGGAGACCTTCCGCTGCGGCAGCCCTGGGCCTGGCACCCTTGACGACCCGCCCTGTGAGGTCTCGGTGATCCAGAGAGAGATCAGGGAGCCCACGGTGGGGCGGCCGGTGCTGCTCAGCGTGGGGCGTGCACCCCGTCTCCGAGGCCCTCTCGGCTTCTTTAGGCCTGTACCTCATGGGGCGTCGCCCCCGGGACCCCAGGTCCGTGGCCCCGAGCGCACCTCCTTCCTCCTGCGGGAGGCCCCGGCTGGGCCTGCGGGCGGCGCTCCCCAGACGCAGTCTTTCTGCACCCGCATCCAGCGCTCTGCAGGCAGCGGCCCGAGCAGCTTCACCACCGAGCTCTCCACCCAGACCGTCAACTTCGGGACAGTGGGGGAGACGGTCACCCTGCACATCTGCCCAGACAGGGATGGGGATGAGGCGGCGCGGCCCTGAGGCCGTGCCCCGGCAGCACCCCCGGGAGCCTGAGGGCCTCCCTGTCCCCAGCCAGGGCCCTTCCTACCTCACTCACCTCCAGTCAGGAGGGCCAAGTGGCACCTGCAGTGTCAGAGTGACGGGCTCAGAACCTTCACTCTGGGCTGTTTCTTGTCAGCCCGGTGGGAGCTCAGGGCTGTGACAATGCGTGTGGCCTTGGGGCACCTGCCCTGTTCCCACGGGGCCTAGTCTACTGTCCCACGCCGGCCCCAGCTGCCAGGCCTGGCCTGGCCTTGCCTCTCCTGCAGTCTTGGCGACTGAGACCCTTGGGTGGGCGCCTTCCAGCTCTGTGGGCCTCCTGGCCTTCTCTGCAGGGTGGACACGGGGTCTGTGTGTGGGCGGCAGCCCGTGTCTCTCAGCAAGAATAAAGCGGCTTCCTGCGCACCTGTCCGACTCTCCTTGCCTCTCGACTGGGCAGTCCTGGGTCCCCTCCACTTGCAGGCCTCGAGGGAGCCCCTACCCCTACCCTCACCAGCCCTCGAATGTAAAGTTCCTGGGGGGCCACCGACTGTGGGGTCCCCACCCGAGTGGACCTGCAGCAGCTGCTTCCCATCAGGGGCCGTGCAGCTGCCCACAGGGACACAGGTGTGGTCAGAACAGCCAATCACAGTCCTTCCCACATGCTGGGCACCAGGCAGGCCTTCCCCAGGCCTGGGCAGCCGTCCCGCATGCTGGGCACCAGGCAGGCCTTCCCCAGGCCTGGACAGCCAGGCAGTTGTCACGGAAGACGCCGGGGTGCGGTGACCCCATGGGATTCGGGCTGTCAGCATCAGGAGTCAACTTTGCTGTTTCTGGCTGGACAATTCCAGCACCAATAGAGGACGACCCTGAGCCCTCCAGCCCTGAGGCTGGCCGAGGGGTCCTGCCGGCCGCCTTGGGGTGGGGAGGAGGGTGCCCTGGCCCCGTAGAAAGCAGCCTGTCTCTCCTCTCCAGGCTGTCGGCTGGGGGTGCAGCAGGCGCTTGAGGATACAAACGAGGGTGGGTTGGGGCAGGTGACCTGCTGGACCCGCGTGCGAGGTGCCTGGGGGCTGGTGGCCAGGTCAGGTCGGGGGGAGGCTGCTGAGAGGGAGCTGCCAGTGGGGCTGTGCCCAGCAGGGCTCTGGAGGACTCTCTGGCCGCCAGCAAGGGGCCAGGTGGGGCGGCCGGGGCAGGGCGGTAGGCGGAGAGGAGGGCAGATTTGGGTCATGCCGTGGCCACCGGGACACCCACTGAATCCAAGCTTCCTCTAGATCTCGCCTTGGCATCAGACTGTGCCCAGGTTCAAGAAGAGGCCAGCTCTGGTCAGGGGGTTGTGATTAGTGGCAGAACCAGGGCCAGGCCCGGCAGCTTCCCAGAGGTGGTGACACTCTCCCGAAGGCACCTGGGGAGGACGGGCCTGAGCTTGCAGGGGCTCTAGGAAGAGGAAGCGCCTGCGGCAGCGTGGGTCTGCAGTTCCTTCCCCTCCCTGTCCCAGGCCTCCACCTCCAGGCAGCCTCCTGAGGGGTGTGGGTTGGGGGGCGGGGGGAGTCCAGTGTCGGCCTAGCTGGGCAGTCTCGAGAATGGGGACGGGGCTCCTGGAGCCCCCGCTGCAGGCTACAGCCATCCCGGACCCCTGGGCCTCAGCCCCTCTGCACTCATCTGCCTCTTCTACAGACACCACCCTGGAGAAAGCGGACCAGGAGGTCACATCCGTCCTGGAGAGACTGCTGGGCTCCAAGGTGCCAGGGCCCTCCACAGGGGACCTCACTGGCCCCGGCCCTGGCCCCTGCCCCGAGATGGCACCTGCACTCCAGGAAGCTGGCTCCCAGCCCCCAGTCACTGGAACTTCAGAGGCACCCGGTGAGGCCCAGACAGATGCCGACCACAAAGACCCCCAGGGGCTGACCCCAACCCTGACTACACCACGAGGGCTGCCCATCCCACGGGCATGAGACGCCAGGCCCCAGTGACCCCGACTTGGAACCCCAGTGGCTCCATGCACTGGGGGCTCCTGGGCAAAGCCTACCTCTTGCTTGGTCTCAGTTTCCCCATCTGAATCAAGGCACAGAATCGGTTCTGGAAGGTTCCTCCTGCTCTGAGTCTGTTCCAGAAGCCAGAGGCTTCCCATGGTTGGCCTGTGCTGGCCAATTCAGGTGCCCCGTGCTCCTCAGTGGACAGGAGGAGGGGGAGGGGTGTGAGAAAGGAGAGGAGGAGGGGAGAAGAGGGAGAGGAGGGAACAGAGGGTGAAAGGAGCAGATGGAGTACGGGCATCAGAAGCAGCCAGTGCCCCAGACAGACCAGACTGGCTGCTAGAGAGCCTGCTCTGTGTGTCACCCACGCCCCTTCCCCCAGGTATCCAGGGTCTGTTAACACCCACGCCCCTACCCCAGGTGTCGGGGGTCTGTTATCACCCATGCCCCTTCCCCCAGGTGTTCAGGGTCTGTTATCACCCACGCCCCTACCCCAGGTGTCGGGGGTCTGTTATCACCCACGCCCCTACCCCAGGTGTCGGGGGTCTGTTATCACCCACGCCCCTTCCCCCAGGTGTCCAGGGTCTGTTATCACCCAAGCCGCCTCCCCCAGGTGTCGGGGGTCTCTGTTATGGAGCACTTTAATGGCTGCTTTTTTTTGTCTTTGGGACGGAGTCTCGTTCTGTCACCCAGGCTGGAGTGCAGTGTGCAGGGGTGTGACCACGGCTCACTGCAGCCTCAACCTCCTAGGTTTAAGCGATTCTGTCATGTCAGCCTCCCAGGTAGCTGGGACTACAGGTGTGTGCCCCCATGCCTGGCTAGTTTTATTTTGGGGTAGAGATGGGGTCTTGCTGTGCTGCCCAGGCTGCTCTCAAACTCCTGGGCTCAAGACATTCTCCTGCCTCAGCTTCCCAAAGAGCTGGGATTACAGGTGTGAGCCTGGCCCAGCCCTGGTCTCGCTCCAGCCTGGTCCTCAGGTCTCCGATCAAGGACCTGTTCTTAAAGGGACAGATGATGCATCTGGGGAAACTGAGGGCTGGGTTGTGGGGAGCTCATCCCAGGCCCTGCTGCTCACTGCAGGTGGAGCCAGGTGTTCAGACCCCGCCTGCAGGAGCACCCAGCTCTCCCAGCTGGAGGTCTGCGCCACATGGGTGCAGCCAGGCAGGAAGCCATGAGGCCGCGGGCAGGATGGCAGCCAGGCTCCTCCCCGCCCCCACCCCGTCGAGCGTCCTCTGCACCCTGCCTGTGTGTGCTTCTCGGTCCATGCCCTCCTCCCCATCTGGTCCAGCCCCTGCCTTGGTCATCTTCACACAAAGGACCGTCCCAGCCATGTGTACCGTGTCCCACCTGCTGTGGTCACCCCACCCATCTTGCTGGGCCTTACTTCATGCACCCTCCCCAGCCACCCCTACCTGGTCCCATCACCTCGGAGAAAGGCCATCTGGCTAGAGCCAAGCAGGGTGACACCTCCGGGGCGCAGTGCCCTCCCCAAGGACTGCACGGGGCAGCCCCCACCATGGTCTCATGCTTCCTGCCCTGAGTAGACTCCAGTCAGCACTTCCAACAGTCTCACAGTCCACATGCTGCCACTGTGACCTCCCCAGGGCCAGGGGGCATAGGGTTCGGGGCAAGCAGGCCACTTCCACTAGTGAGATGAGAGGGCCGGCCCCTTGGGTCTGCTTCCCCCCAGCAGGCACGGAAGCCCCCAGGCCTTCAGCAAGCACAGGCTCCTCCCTCCAGCTGCCTGGGCACTGCGGGGTGTCCTGCTGGGTCCCACCTTGGTGAGCATTTGCTCAGTGCGTCCATCATGGGGCTGGCTGGACGCAGGGCCTGGCCCAGGAGAAGGGGCATGGCGTCCCTCTCACTCTGGAAGTGGTCACTTATTTTCCTGGCCTGTCATCCTTCCCCCGCAGAGACTGAGGGCTGGTGCCCGCAGGGGAGGGACAGGCAGGCCGAGGCTGGGGCGGGGGTCTGGGAGGACTGGCTCTGGTCCTCACTCTCCCTCTGCCGCTTGGGCACCAGGGGCACAGGGGCTGAGCAGACCACCCCACCCGGGTGCTGCTTGGACTGGCAGATCGCAGGCTCCCTCCCAGGCCTGACGCTCGTTCACTCTGCCCGATGCCACTGAAGAGTGGGCACGAGTTGGCCTGCTCCGCCCACAACCCCACCTGTCCTGCCCATGGCCAGCGCCCTTCCCACTTGCCCGCCTGCCCGAAGCTCCGGTGTACCCGAGTCCTATGGCCTCCTGCGCTGCCTGCGCCACCGCCCGGGGCTGTCCCCAGCCCCACTCCTCTACCCGGTCCACCCTGGGGGCCTCCTGTCCTCTACCTGGCAGCCGGGTGGAGCGGCGTTGAGGGCCCTGCCTGTGGCCTCTGGGCAGCCCACGGGGCGACGCCCTGACCCTCTGGGTCCTGCCCACCATCTCTTGTGCGCTAGGAACTGTTGAATGCCCCTGCACCCACGGTGCTGAGACACCGCCGCCTGCCCTGCCTGGCTGTCAGGGAGTGTTCTGGAGGGCAGAGGCCACGGCATCCAGCTGTCAGCCTGACGGGTGGGCAGGGGCCTCAGGGCTGGTGGTGCCAGCCCAGAAGTGGAGGGTGTCTGGCACGTGGGCTCTGCAGGGTGGCAACTGCACGTGCTTGAGCTGTGGGCTGGGGACTGGGGTTGGGGCTCAGGGCCCCTGGAACCCAACGCTCTGCCTGGGCTCGCCGAGCCTGGGATGATGAGGACCTGCTACAGGCACCGCCCAGGCTCCCTCTCATGAGGCCTCATCTCCCAGCAGCCGGGCCCCCGAGGATGCCACAGCCCCTCCTCCACGAAGCCCCAGAGCAGGAGCCCAAGGCCCGTGCCAGAGCCCAGGAGCGGACTGTGCCCATTCGGTAACCTCCCCAGACTGCCGGGTCCTGCATCGGGGCCAACCCCCAGGGGACATCCCAGGGCAGGCAGGGAGGGCATGTGAGCATGAGGTACCGGGTGGCCTCCCAGCCCTCACTACACTCCCTGCCAGCAGCCACCTCACGCAGGGCAGGGCAGGGAGGAGAGGCTATCCTAGGAACAAGAGGTGAGAGGTGTGGGGGCTAGGCCCCGTCTGCATCTCATCCCAGAGAGGCTCTGCTGCAGCCCCTCCGAGTGTTGGTGGTGAGCAGGGGCCCCCCCATCCCATCGGAAAGCCTGGCTGAGCCTCACTCCGCTTCCTAATCCTAGGATGGAGGGCACAGCCTGGTCCGGGGCAGGCACAGGGGAGCTGCTCTGGGACGTCCACAGCCACGTGGTCACAGAGACCATGCAGAGGACCTACACATACCGGGCCGTGGACACGCGCACCGCACGTACGGGGCTGGGCCCAGAGGGTTATGAGTGTGATTCCCTGCCCCTGCCCAGTGCTGGGGGCATCTGTACAGCTGCAGAGGCCACCCAGCATGTCCCGGCCTGCCCCAGCCTGGGAGCCCCACATTCCGCCTCACTGTGTTCCCTCAGAGGGGCCGGGACCCTCTGCCGGGGAGAGGCAAGTGGTGGTGAATGTGGTGTCCATAGGACCCCGTCCCTGCGCACGCAGCAGAGGCAGTGAGCTCTGCTGGCCCCGCAGCTCCTCCTGATCACCCGGCCCACCAAGGTCAGAATAGGGTGCTGCTGCCCACAGTGTATCTCAGGACCACTGACCACCCAGGCATGGTGAGCCGTGGCTGGCACCCAGGGGTCTCCATGGTTCCCTCCCTGCCCTTCCAGGGCCCCCATCCATGCAGGTGACCATCGAGGATGTGCAGGCGCAGACAGGTGGCGCGGCCCAATTCCAGGCTGTCATTGAGGGCGACCCACAGCCCACAGTGGCCTGGTACAAGGTAGGAGCAGCTCCAGGTGGGTGAGATTCGGGGATGGCCCTGGGAGCTGGGGAGCCCAGGGGAGGGAGTTCAGTCCACACTGTGCACTTCCCCCGACATCCCCTCCACACTGGATGTGCATCGGAAGCACTCTCAGTGAAGAGCAGGGGGTGGGGTCCCCCAGGTGGGCTGACGGCAGCCCTGCTGGTCCTGTGCCTCCAGGACAGCATCCAGCTGGTGGACAGCGCCCGGCTTAGCCAGCAGCAGGAAGGCACCACGTACTCCCTGGTGCTGAGGGATGTGTCCTCAAAGGACGCCGGCGTCTACACGTGCCTGGCCCAAAACGCCGGCGGCCAGGTGCTCTGCAAGGCAGAGTTGTTGGTGCTTGGGGGTGAGTTGGCCGACCCCTCCCACACCCCAGGCTTTGTAGATGGGCTGGACAGGTACAGGTCTCAGCTCCACAGGGTAACCTCTCTTCCCACGGGTGTTCCTGGATGAGTGTGGTCCCACAGTCTTGGGTCCAGGGAGCCCCTCCCATTAACACCACAGCACTGGGCTCCGTGGGGATCCGGGTGGTCACCTTTGCCCATCCCAGCCGCTTCCCACTCCTTAGGGGACAGTGAGCTGGACTCGGAGAAGCAAAGCCCGCGGAGGAGGCTGCACTCCTTCTATGAGGTCAAGGAGGAGATCGGAAGGTAGGGCCCGGCCCCCTTTCCCCTGGACTGCTGACGGCCTGGGCCGCTGGGGCTCCCTCACTCCCTCCTTCCTAGGGGCGTGTTTGGCTTCGTGAAGAGAGTACAGCACAAAGGAAACAAGATCTCCTGTGCTGCCAAGTTCATCCCCCTGCGGAGCAGAACTCGGGCCCAGGCGTACAGGGAGCGAGACATCCTGGCCACGCTGAGCCACCCGCTGGTCACAGGGCTGCTGGACCAGTTTGAGACCCGCAAGACCCTCATCCTCGTTCTGGAGCTGTATCCTGCCCTCAGCCCCTGGGAGGGCTTGAGCAGGGGCTGGCCGGGGCTCGGAGGAGCCATGTGCACAGCATCCCCTACCGGGCTGGGAATTTGTGGGGAGTCTTCTGTTCCATGGGGCAGTGACTGGAGTCCCCTGGGGGTGCTGTGGCCAGCTGGCCCTGATGACCTGACGCCCTCGACAGGGATGGTGGGGGTTCTCTCCCACTGTGCAGATAGCCTTACAGAGAAAGGAGCTGCCTGGCCAGGCTACTCTGGGGTTCACCCCACCACCCACGGAGCCTGGTCTTGGGGTTACCTTTGGTGCTCTTGACAGGCTGTCAGCAGGACACAGCCTCCCGCCACGAGTCGGCATCCTCTTCAACGGGAGAGGGTACTGGATGGGCTCTGTGCAGAGTGGACAGCATGTCCCCTCCCACCGCGCAGTGGGTGGCCTCGGTCCCCAGGGTCAGCCTGCAGCCCCTCCCTCTCCTCAGGACTGGGTGTCATCTGGTGCTCAGCAGGGTCCTGCCCCACCCTCCTCAACCCTGAGCATCACCGCACTGCCCCCAGAGATCAGACGTGCCCGCAGTCCTGGCCTCCTCATTGTGAGTGTGGGTGTCCAGGAGCAGGCAGGTTTCAGCCCCACAAGCCTGCTTTTCCTTGATGGGATCCCAGGTGCTCATCTGAGGAGCTGCTGGACCGCCTGTTCAGGAAGGGCGTAGTCACAGAAGCCGAGGTGACAGGGCAGCTGCCCACCACTGCCCCAGCCACACACCCTGCCCCAGCCCCCGCTCAGACAGCAGTCCCTGCAGCCCCAGCCCCAGCCATAGCCCTCCCCGGCTCAGAGGCCTCTGGGGCTCCCTAGGGCCTCCGGGCTCTTGACCCCTCGGTTGGACTTCACAGGCCCCGCCACCCCACCTCACCTGGCCAGCCCTGCCCTCCTCTCCCCTGCTGAGGGTCATGAGTCCACTGTGTCCTCCCCGCCTTTGAGGGATCCCCTGGCTTAGGGGCACACAGGGCCCAGGAGGGCTTTGCACATCAGCCGCTGAAGCCAGGAGGCAGCTGGGCGTGAAGTGGAGAGGGAGGCTGGGGCGGGGCTCCCGCCTGAACAGCAGCCCCACACGAAGACGTTAAAATCTGTCGCAGGTCAAGGTCTACATCCAGCAGCTGGCGGAGGGGCTGCACTACCTGCACAGCCACGGCGTCCTCCACCTGGACATAAAGGTCCGTGTGTCCCCACCCCTGCACTCCAGGCCTCACCGAGGGCTTGCTTGTCTCCACAGATGGGGAACTCACCACCTCCCGGCAGTCCTTTCAAGTGGGCGTGGCTCTAGTGGAGCAGAGGCTGTCCTCAAATGGCTGCACTGGGTGCACCCCACCTGCCCCCCAGGCCTCTGAGTGTCCCCGGCAGGCCCAGCAGCCCCAGGAGTCGCCCCCTTAGGGCATGGCCCTCACTCACGCCCAACTCTCCCACAGCCCCCTAACATCCTGATGCTGCATCCTGCCCGGGAAGACATTAAAATCTGCGACTTCGGCTTCGCGCAGAGCATCACCCCGGCAGAGCCGCAGTTCAGCCAGTACGGCTCCCCTGAGTTCGTCTCCCCCGAGATCATCCAGCAGACCCCTGTGAGCGAGGCCTCTGACATCTGGTGAGTCAGCAGCCAGTTCCCACGGCCAGCTGGGCCCTCCCCTCCACCCCGGGGAGGCAGCAGGCAGTCTACTGGGCAGCCGGGGGGTCCTCCCTGAACCCAGCTCCTCCTCCAGCCCTGGGCTCTCCCCTTCCCTGTGTGTGTGCCTCTTACCTGCGGGCCTGGGGTGACAGTGTGTGGTTCTGTCTTGCAGGGCCATGGGTGTCATCTCCTACCTCAGGTGAGCAGAGCCCTGCCCCATCAGCCGCCTCCTCCAAAGCTGACCCGAGGCCCCTCCCCTGCAGGCCCACGGAAGGCACGCGCACCGCAGGCTGCTCCCCAGATCAGAGACCGAGACCCAAGGGGCAGCTATCTTGGGAACAGGCAGTCAGCCAACCCTGATAAGAGCTTTCTGCCCAGAGTATCTCAAACACCCCGTCATCAGAGGGCTGTGCCAGGTCACGAGGCAGGCAGGACGCTGCCCTGTAGGACTAGGGGTGGTCCAGCAGCCCCTCACGACGGCCACTGCAGCCCTGAGAATGAGGGTGGAATAGACTGAGCCTGGATCCTCATTTCAGACTGAGGCTGGTGCCACCCAGGCTGACCCTAGATCTCTGCCCCAGCCTGAGCCTGGATCCCTACCTCAGACTAAGGCTGGTGTCCACCAAAGCTGACTCTAGATCCCTTCTGCAACCTGAGCGCAGATACTCACTCCAGGCTCGGCCTGGGTCCTTGGTCCAAGCTGAGGCTGGATCTCTCTGGGCAGCTCAGAGAAACTTGCCGGGACTCTCAGAGCTAGATGGGAGTGGGGCTAAGAGCCCCTCCACAGTCAGGGCTGCCTCTGAGAGCCAGGCCTTCCCTCTGCCTTCAGCCTGACCTGCTCGTCCCCGTTTGCCGGCGAGAGTGACCGTGCCACCCTCCTGAATGTCCTGGAGGGACGTGTGTCATGGAGCAGCCCCATGGCTGCCCACCTCAGTGAAGACGCCAAGGACTTCATCAAGGCTGCGTTGCAGAGGGCCCCGAGGTGAGTGCAAGCCTGGCTTCTCCCACCCCGGGGGCAGCTGACCACCTGGCCCTTCCTGAGCCTTCTCTCCCCACAGGGCCCGGCCCAGTGCAGCCCAGTGCCTCTCCCATCCCTGGTTCCTGGTGAGTACTGGGCTCAGCCCCACACCATGCAGGGGGCACCTGAGGCCAGCAGGGGCAGGGCCTCTGGGCCACGGGGTGAGTGAGCACAGAACTGTAGCGTAGCCCAGCCTCTGCCCAGCCCCTGCCCAGCCCAGAGGACCTCTGTCCCCGTGCATCTGTGAGAGACCCCCAGCCCCTAGCAGGAAGCAAGGAGAACTTCGAGGAGCTCTGGGACAGGGGAACGTTCATTGCCTCTGGCCTTTGCCACCTGCCCCACCTGGACATGTGGGGTGAGGGTGGTGCTGTCCTGGATCCAGGGGATCCCAGGGCTCAGGCTGTGCTAGCCACCCAACCCCTCCCCGGCAGGGCTTCCACCATGGGAGGGGCCCATCAGAGCACCAGGGTCTCCCTGCCATGTGGCTGCCCACTTCCGTCCCCTAGAAATCCATGCCTGCCGAGGAGGCCCACTTCATCAACACCAAGCAGCTCAAGTTCCTCCTGGCCCGAAGCCGCTGGCAGGTGAGCCCCCCCTGCCCTAGCAGGGACCAGTGAAGGGGAAACCGAGGCCCCACAGGGCTGGCCATGCAGCTGGGAGTGTGGGAAGCGGGGAACTGGGGCTGGGCTCCTCTGAGCGCACTGAAAGGAGGGAGGAGTCATCCACTGGGCACAGCGGGGTGGGCAGAGGACCCGGAGCTCCTGGGCCCCCCAGCTGATGCGCACTGCCCCCATGCGGCCCCAGCGTTCCTTGATGAGCTACAAGTCCATCCTGGTCATGCGCTCCATCCCTGAGCTGCTACAGGGCGCGCCCGACAGCCCCTCCCTCGGCGTGGCCCGGCACCTCCGCACAGACGCTGCTGGCTCCTCCAGTTCCTCCTCCTCCTCCGACAATGAGCTCGCCCCGTTTGCCCGGGCCAAGTCGCTGCCACCCTCCCCGGTGACACACTCACCGCTGCTGCACCCCCGGGGCTTCCTGCGGCCCTCGGCCAGCCTGCCTGAGGAGGCCGAGGCCCCTGGTCCGCCCGCGTTGCCCGAGGGTGCTGGGCCACCAGCAGCCCAGGGCTGTGTGCCCCGGCACAGCGTCATCCGAAGCCTGTTCTACCAGCAGGCAGGTGAGGGCCCCGAGCGCCGGGCCCTGGCCTCAGAGACCAGGCGGCACCCAGCCCGGCGGCGGCACCTGCTGAAGGGCGGGTACATCGCGGGGGTGCTGCCGGGCCTGCGAGAGCCGCTGATGGAGTACCGTTCGCTGGAGGAGGAGGCCGCCAGGGAGGAGCAGGCCACCCTCCTGGCCAAAGCTCCCTCCTTTGAGACCGCCCTCCGGCTGCCTGCCCCTGGCACCCACTCGGTCCCTGGCCGCAGCCGCTCCCTGGAACATGACCCTCTGAGCACCCACCACCCCTCCCTGGGGGCCTGTGGTGAGGCACAGCAACTGCCTCCAGCCCCCTCCAGTGGGGGCCCTGCCAGGGACATGGGGCACCCTCAAGGCTCTGAGCAGCTTCTGTCCACTGGAGGCCACTCAGGCACTGCTCAGCCAGAGGGGCCATCCCTGGACAGCCCTTTGGGGCAGCCGGCCCCTTTCTGTCACCCCAAGCAGGGTTCTGGCCCCCAGGAGGGCTGCAGCCCCCACTGGGCACTTGCCCCACACCCTCCCAGCTCCTTCCCTCCAGGATCTTGTGAAGAGGCCACCTCAGTACCCTCAAGCCACCTCCTGGGACAGCCTGAGGCACCCCCTGCCCCAGCCCAAGCAAGCCCCCTGCTAGACTCTAAGATGGGGCCGAAACCCAGCCCCTGCAGTTCCCCAGGGCCAGCCCCCCAGGCGAGCTCTTCCCAAGTGAGCTCCCACAGGATGGGCTCCCCGCAGGTGGGTGCAGAGCCTGGCCCCTCCCTGGATGCTGAGGGCTGGTCCCAGGAGGCTGAGGATCTCTCACCCACCCTGCATCGGCCTCAGGAGCAGGCCACCACGCGGAAATTCTCCCTGGGGCATCATGGGGGCTATGCCGGCGTGGCTGGCTATGGCACCTTTGCCTTCGGCGGGGATGCGGGAGGCATGCTGGGGCAAGGACCCATGTGGGCCAGGATGGCCTGGGCTGTGTCCCAGTCCTCGGAGGAGCAGGAGGAGGCTAGGGCTGAGAGCCTGCCGCCCCAGGCCAGTCCAAGGCCCATGCCTGAGGCCGGCAGGACTCCCTCCAGGACCTCTCTAGAGCCCACCCCATGGGAGGACACCGGGCAGGTCTCCCTGGTCCAGATCCGGGACCTGTCAGGTGACACAGAGGCGGCCGACACAGTATCCTTGGACATTTCCGAGGTAGACCCTGCCTACCTCAACCTCTCGGACCTGTACGACATCAAGTACCTCCCGTTCGAGTTTATGATCTTCAGGAAAGTCCCCAAGCCGGCTCAGCCACAGCCACCCTCGCCCAGGGCTGAGGAGGAGCTGGCTGAGATCCCAGAGCCTGAGTGGCTCTGGCCAGGCAAACTGGGCCCCCAGGCGGGCCTGGAGATCACGGAGGGGCCAGAGGACGTGGAGGCGCTGCTGGCGGAGGCTGCCGCGGGCAGGAAGCGCAAGTGGATCTCACCGTCTCGCGGCCTCTTCCGCCTCCCTGGGAGGCACCTGCCGCTGGCCGAGCCGTCGGAGCTGGGGCTGCGTGAGAAAGTGAAGGCCTCCATGGAGCACATCTCCCGGATCCTGAAGGGCAGGCCGGAAGGTGACCCCTCACCCCTCACCCCACCCACCCCACCCCAGGCGTCCTGCATGCCCAGGGCCCCCATTCTGCACCTGGGTGATGGCAGGAGGCCCTCGTGGTGCCCACCAGGGTCCAGGTACCTCCCACACCTCCTGTCCCTGCCTCAGGGCTCTGAATCTTGGGGTCACCTCTGCAGCCCTGACACCCCTCCCCATGGGGCAGCTGAGACCCAGCCCTGGAACCTAACATAGCTGTGGAGGCCTGGGGAGGCTGAAGGTGGGGTGCCCCTGGGGAGAGAATCAAAGGGGCCAGAGTATTCCTGAATCAGATCATCCCAACCCCAGAGTCCTCCTGACTGGCCCCAGACCCTCCCTGCCCCAGATACCCCGACACTGGACCCCCCTGACCCCAGACTCCTCCTGGCTGGCCCCAGACCCTCCCTGCCCCAGACACCCCGACACTGCACCCCCCCGACCCCAGAGTCCTCCTGACTGGCCCCAGACCCTCCCTGCCCCGGACACCCCGACACTGGACCCCCCCGACCCCAGAGTCCTCCTGACTGGCCCCAGACCCTCCCTGCCCCAGACACCCCGACACTGGACCCCCCCAACCCCAGAGTCC